ATAACAACAGCAGTACATCACTTCATGGGTCTGAAATCAAACAGAACATACATTTTACTAAATAATAAAGACACTAATGTCTTTGAATTCTTTCATCAAAACTAAATGGTATTCCAAGAACAACAAAAAAGAAATCCTACTGTGGGAAATGATGTGTCCTTCAAATGACCTCAAAGCCTCCAGGTTGTGGGTTGGCGAAAGTTCCACGCTCTGTCGCAAAGGGCCTTTCTCTCTCATGCAGTCAAGCAAGGCAGTTTAACAAGTCTCAATTGATAACAACAGCAGTACATCACTTCATAGGTCTGAAATCAAACAGAACATACATTTTACTAAATAACAAAACATTTGTGCCTTTGAATTCTGTCATCAAAACTACATGGTAATACAACAACATCAGAAAAGAAATCTTACTGCGGGAAATGATGTGTCCTTCAAATGATCTCAAAGCCTCTAGATTGTGGGTTGGCGAAAGTTCCACGCTCTGTCGCAAAGGGCCTTTCTCTCTCAAGCAGTCAAGCAAGGCAGTTTAACAAGTCTCAATTGATAACAACAGCAGTACATCACTTCATGGGTCTGAAATCAAACAGAACATACATTTTACTAAATAACAAAACATTTGTGCCTTTGAATTCTGTCATCAAAACTACATGGTATTCCAACAACATCAGAAAAGAAATCTTACTGCGGGAAATGATGTGTCCTTCAAATGACCTCAAAGCCTCCAGATTGTGGGTTGGCGAAAGTTCCACGCTCTGTCGCAAAGGGCCTTTCTCTCTCATGCAGTCAAGCAGGGCAGTTGAACAAGTCTCAACTGATAACAACAGCAGTACATCACTTCATGGGTCTGAAATTAAGCATAACATACATTCAACTGTATAGCAAACTTATAACTGTTTTTTTATTTCAATATAAGATTTAAACTGTAGAATTTTCCAACAGCAGTTAAAAACAATAATCTTACTGCGGGAAATGATGCGTCCTTCAAATGACCTCAAAGCCTCCAGATTGTGGGTTGGCGAAAGTTCCACGCTCTGTCGCAAAGGGCCTTTCTCTCTCATGCAGTCAAGCAGGGCAGTTGAACAAGTCTCAACTGATAACAACAGCAGTACATCATTTCATGGGTCTGAAATTAAGCATAACATACATTCAACTGTCCAGCAAACTTATAACTGTTTTTTTTTTTTCAATATAAGATTAAAACTGTAAAATTTTCCAACAGCAGTTAAAAACAATAATCTTACTGGGGGAAATGATGTGTCCTTCAAATGACCTCAAAGCCTCCAGATTGTGGGTTGGCGAAAGTTCCACATTCTGTCGCAAAGGGCCTTTCTCTCTCATACAGTCAAGCAGGGCAGTTTAACAAGTCTCAATTGATAACAACAGCAGAACATCACTTCATGGGTCTGAAATAAAGCAAAACATACATTCAACTGTACAGCAAATATATAACTAGTTTATTTTCAATATGTCATCTAAACTGTAGGATTTTCCTATAACAGTTAAAAACAACAATCTTACTGCGGGAAATGATGTGTCCTTCAAATGACCTCAAAGCCTCCAGATTGTGGGTTGGCGAAAGTTCTACGCTCTGTCGCAAAGGGCCTTTCTCTCTCATGCAGTCAAGCAGGGCAGTTGAACAAGTCTCAACTGATAACAACAGCAGTACATCATTTCATGGGTCTGAAATTAAGCATAACATACATTCAACTGTCCAGCAAACTTATAACTGTTTTTTTTTTCAATATAAGATTAAAACTGTAAAATTTTCCAACAGCAGTTAAAAACAATAATCTTACTGCGGGAAATGATGTGTCCTTCAAATGACCTCAAAGCCTCCAGATTGTGGGTTGGCGAAAGTTCCACGCTCTGTCGCAAAGGGCCTTTCTCTCTCATGCAGTCAAGCAGGGCAGTTGAACAAGTCCCACCTGATAACAACAGCAGTACATCATTTCATGGGTCTGAAATTAAGCATAACATACATTCAACTGTATAGCAAACTTATAACTGTTTTTTTTTTTTTCAATATAAGATTTAAACTGTAGAATTTTCCAACAGCAGTTAAAAACAATAATCTTACTGCGGGAAATGATGCGTCCTTCAAATGACCTCAAAGCCTCCAGATTGTGGGTTGGCGAAAGTTCCACACTCTATTGCAAAGGGCCTTTCTCTCTCATACAGTCAAGCAGGGCAGTTTAACAAGTCTCAACTGATAACAACAGCAGTACATCATTTCTTGGGCCTGAAATTAAACATAACATGCATTCAACTGTATAGCAAATTTATAACTGTTTTCTTAATTTTAATATAAGATTTAAACTGTGGGATTTTCCGACATCATTTAAGAACAGAAATCTTACTTCGGGAAATGATGTGTCCTTCAAATGACCTTGAAGCCTCCAGATTATGGTTTGGCGAATGTTTCACACTCTGTCGCAAAGGGTCTTTCTCTCTCATACAGTCAAGCAGGGCAGTTTAACAAGTCTCAATTGATAACAACAGCAGTACATCACTTCATGGGTCTGAAATCAAACAAAACATACATTTTACTAAATAACAAAAACATTGATGTCTTTGAATTCTTTTATCAAAACTACATGGTAATACAACAACATCAGAAAAGAAATCTTACTGCGGGAAATGATGTGTCCTTCAAATGATCTCAAATCCTCCAGATTGTGGGTTGGCGAAAGTTCCACGCTCTGTCGCAAAGGGTCTTTCTCTCTCATGCAGTCAAGCAAGGCAGTTTAACAAGTCTCAATTGATAACAACAGCAGTACATCATTTCATGGGTCTGAAATCAATAAGAACATACATTTTACTTAATAACAAAAACATTGATGTCTTTGAATTCTTTCATCAAAACTACATGGTAATACAACAACATCAGAAAAGAAATCTTACTGCAGGAAATGATGCGTCCTTCAAATGATCTCAAAGCCTCTAGATTGTGGGTTGGCGAAAGTTCCACGCTCTGTCGCAAAGGGCCTTTCTCTCTCATGCAGTCGATCAAGCAAGGCAGTTTAACAAGTCTCAATTGATAACAACAGCAGTACATCACTTCATGGGTCTGAAATCAAGCAGAACATACATTTTAATAAATAACAAAGACATTGATGTCATTGAATTCTTTCATCAAAACTAAATGGTATTCCAACAACATCAGAAAGGAAATCTTACTGCGGGAAATGATGTGTTCTTCAAATGACCTCAAAGCCTCCAGATTGTGGGTTGGCGAAAATTCCACGCTCTGTCGCAAAGGGCCTTTCTCTCTCATACAGTCAAGCAGGGCAGTTTAGAAGTCTCAACTGATAACAACAGCAGTACATCATTTCATGGGTCTGAAATTAAGCAGAACATACATTCAACTGTACAGCAAATATATAACTGTTTTTTTTTTCAATATAAGATTTAAACTGTAGAATTTTCCAACAACATTTAAGAACAGAAATCTTACTTCGGGAAATGATGTTTTCTTCAAATGACCTCAAAGCCTCCAGATTGTGGGTTGGCGAAAGTTCCACGCTCTGTCGCAAAGGGCCTTTCTCTCTCATGCAGTCAAGCAGGGCAGTTGAACAAGTCTCACCTGATAACAACAGCAGTACATCATTTCATGGGTCTGAAATTAAGCATAACAAACATTCAACTGTATAGCAAACTTATAACTGTTTTTTTTTTCAATATAAGATTTAAACTGTAGAATTTTCCAACAGCAGTTAAAAACAATAATCTTACTGCGGGAAATGATGCGTCCTTCAAATGACCTCAAAGCCTCCAGATTGTGGGTTGGCGAAAGTTCCACGCTCTGTCGCAAAGGGCCTTTCTCTCTCATGCAGTCAAGCAGGGCAGTTGAACAAGTCTCACCTGATAACAACAGCAGTACATCATTTCATGGGTCTGAAATTAAGCATAACAAACATTCAACTGTATAGCAAACTTATAACTGTTTTTTTTTTTCAATATAAGATTTAAACTGTAGAATTTTCCAACAGCAGTTAAAAACAATAATCTTACTGCGGGAAATGATGCGTCCTTCAAATGACCTCAAAGCCTCCAGATTGTGGGTTGGCGAAAATTCCACGCTCTGTTGCAAAGGGCCTTTCTCTCTCATACACTCAAGCAGGGCAGTTTAGAAGTCTCAACTGATAACAACAGCAGTACATCATTTCATGGGTCTGAAATTAAGCATAACATACATTCAACTGTCCAGCAAACTTATAACTGTTTTTTTTTTTTTCAATATAAGATTAAAACTGTAAAATTTTCCAACAGCAGTTAAAAACAATAATCTTACTGCGGGAAATGATGTGTCCTTCAAATGACCTCAAAGCCTCCAGATTTTGGGTTGGCGAAAGTTCCACACTCTGTCGCAAAGGGCCTTTCTCTCTCATACAGTCAAGCAGGGCAGTTTAGAAGTCTCAACTGATAACAACAGCAGTACATCATTTCATGGGTCTGAAATTAAGCATAACATACATTCAACTGTACAGCAAATATATAACTGTTTTTTTTTTCAATATAAGATTTAAACTGTAGAATTTTCCAACAGCAGTTAAAAACAATAATCTTACTGCGGGAAATGATGCGTCCTTCAAATGACATCAAAGCCTCCAGATTGTGGGTTGGCGAAAGTTCCACGCTCGGTCGCTAAGGGCCTTTCTCTCTCATACAGTCAAGCAGGGCAGTTTAACAAGTCTCAACTGATAACAACAGCAGTACATCATTTCTTGGGCCTGAAATTAAGCATAACATACATTCAACTGTCCAGCAAACTTATAACTGTTTTTTTTTTCAATATAAGATTTAAACTGTAGAATTTTCCAACAGCAGTTAAAAACAATAATCTTACTGCGGGAAATGATGTGTCCTTCAAATGACCTCAAAGCCTCCAGATTGTGGGTTGGCGAAAGTTCCACGCTCTGTCGCAAAGGGCCTTTCTCTCTCATACAGTCAAGCAGGGCAGTTGAACAAGTCTCAACTGATAACAACAGCAATACATCATTTCATGGGTCTGAAATTAAGCATAACATACATTCAACTGTATAGCAAATTTATAACTGTTTTCTTAATTTTAATATAAGATTTAAACTGTGGGATTTTCCGACATCATTTAAGAACAGAAATCTTACTTCGGGAAATGATGTGTCCTTCAAATGACCTTGAAGCCTCCAGATTATGGTTTGGCGAATGTTTCACACTCTGTCGCAAAGGGCCTTTCTCTCTCATACAGTCAAGCAGGGCAGTTGAACAAGTCTCAACTGATAACAACAGCAATACATCATTTCATGGGTCTGAAATTAAGCATAACATACATTCAACTGTATAGCAAATTTATAACTGTTTTCTTAATTTTAATATAAGATTTAAACTGTGGGATTTTCCGACATCATTTAAGAACAGAAATCTTACTTCGGGAAATGATGTGTCCTTCAAATGACCTTGAAGCCTCCAGATTATGGTTTAGCGAATGTTTCACACTCTGTCGCAAAGGGCCTTTCTCTCTCATACAGTCAAGCAGTACAGTTTAACAAGTCTCAACTGATAACAACAGCAGTACATCATTTCATGGGTCTGAAATTAAGCATAACATACATTCAACTGTACAGTAAATTTATAACTGTTTTTTATTTTCAATAAAAGATTTAAACTGTAGAATTTTCAACAACATTTAAGAACAGAAATCTTACTGAGGGAAATGATATGTCCTTCAAATGACCTCAAATCCTCCAGATTGTGGGGTTGGCAAAAGTTCCACACTCTGTCGCAAAGGGTCTTTCTCTTATGCAGTCAAGCAGGGCAGATTAACAAGTCACAAGTGATAACAACAGCAATACATCACTTATTTGGTCTGAAATCAAGAATGATATACATTTTACTAAATTACAGATACACTGATTGCTTTTTATGGCATGTTCAAAACAAAATGATATTCCAATTATGTTAAAATAGAAATCTTACTTCTGGACATGATGTGTCCATCAAATGAACTGAAAGCTCAAAGAAATTTCTTCATGTGTTTTTGATACCGTTCCCTTGACTGCCTTCTGAGATTCATTATTTTTGTTCTGATCAAATGGATTTTTTTCTGTCTGGGAAAATCATTTAGGATTTCTGGATATTTCTGGATGAAGCTGCATATATCACTTGTAACTGTGACGAATGAACAAATAAGGGTATTATGTAAAGAAAAGCAAGTCATGTTAAATTTATTTACTGCACTTTTAAAGAGGCTATAGATCATGGATTTGACAATTTATATATTAAAAGATAGCAAATTAACTTTGAAAAGAAGGTATCTTTCTCAACTTTATACAGTTCTACAATTTAAAAACAGTTGTTGAGGCTCAATTTTTTATCAAAAACAAAGTACCATGTAATTTTCCTTTGTTTCCAGATTCAGACACATCATCAATATAAGTACGGAAAAATCTTTTAACAGCAGCATCCTCGTTTGATGACCAGATATGCTTTTTGCCTTTGGCTATTGTGTCCTCTACAAAAGCCAAAAAATCATATTGACTATTTTTTTACCCTTCATTTTTGAAAAGTGTTTTAAGAGTGACTCTCTTGAAATAATTTAAAAATTTATTTCATTCCGTATGAATTTAGATTTTTCTACACAGGTGAGTTAAGTCTAGGTATAGGCGTTTCTATGCAAATGAGCTAATAAAAAAAGCATAAGAGGTATATTTATTATTCAGAGAAAGTGTTGATTTATTTTCTTTTGCATACTTAGTACCCATGATATGTTATAGCCAATACACATTATGACGTCATATTATGACGTCACTGATCTTACCTACTGGAGGTAATAAAACACATCAACAAAACAGCTTCGGCGCAAGGAATTAGCCTATTTCTTTTTAAATAAAAATTGTATAATGCTAAGAAGAATATTCTATAGATTAATAAAACTGCTGCACAAATCCTAGGCATTTTTTCATTTGATCAGAATTTGAGGAAACTTATACCAGACTGTACATTTTTACCCTTATTCAACTTAAAACTTTTCAAATAGAAATTATACAACCAAGCTGTTGATATTTGTGCAGCAATGCCGGCAAACCTTTGAATATTTTGCTTCTAAATATACCTTGTTTCAGTTAAATAAAATAGAGCATGCCCTTGCACCGAAGCATTTTTGTTGATATCCATTATAATCTTGTGTTGTAAAGAACAATGACGTCATAATATGACATCATAATGTGTACTGGCTATGTCACGTCGTGGGTACCTAGTATGTATTAGACAATAAGTTTTAACTTTCTCTGTATAATAGATATAGTCCTTAGGCATTTTAATTAGATAATTTGGATAGAAACGCCTATACTTAGCCTTAACTCACCTGCGTAAGATTTATAAACCATGTGTTCTGAGTAAATGTAATAAATAGTAACTATGTACAGTTGAACTTCGGTATCTCGAACACGGATATCTCGAATACCATGGATATGTCGAAGTGATTTTGAAGTCCTAAGCACTTATTTCTTAAGTATTTTACCCTGGATATTTCGAATTCTTGGATATCTCAAAGTATTTCCTTGGTCCCTTGAAGTTCGAGATAACGAGGTTTGACTGTATATACACATTTACTTAAACATTTATCAAGTCTAACTATGTTTTTACCATCTGTGGATACTTTATCATCCTTGTCTGATGGTTCATCAGATGAGGAACTATCCTCACAAATGTAAGAAACGACATTCCTGGAACGTTTTATCACACTAGGGCCAGGAATCTAGAATATATTATAGTTGAAAACTTGCAGATTTGACGCAAAAATATATACTGTCAATCACCTTTATTCTCAAGACAGTGTGCTTGCAAAAATTTCATTTACACATATATTACTATTCCATTGAAATGATTATAGAGAGCAGTAACTCCAGTTTGTGAAAACTTTGTCTTGCTAATTAAGAATTAATGATTATCTTGTGAAAATAGGTGTCACAAACATTAAGTGATCTATGGTAGTTTTGTTTAGTACATTTATAATAAATACCTCATTTTCGGAAATGTCATCATCCTTTCTAGTTCTCTTCAACCCTGTAAACAATGATACCTATATTATTATTCATGTCATCTTCTACATAAAGATTCAACATTTTTAATTTCAAACTGTTGATTACTTCTACTCACCAGTATACAGTCAAACCGTATTACCTCTAACTCAGAAGTATCTATTATTTAATTATTGAAATATTGGTTTAAAAAAACCCATAAAGAATGGGTCGGTACTTCTGACTCACTTTGAAAAATTAAAATGTTTACCTGATGTATTTTCTCTGTTTTTTCCTTGCATTTTGTATTCTATAGAAAAAAAGGTTATGTAATACCAACACTAGTACATCTTGAAGAATTTTTTCTCTTTGCTACATAATTTAAATATAATACATGTATTCACATCATAGCTTTAAATCTTTCATAATAGATTTTAAATTTCTTGAAAATTTTGATTTTTTAAAAGAATTAATTGCTCAATCATCTTCAGGTTTTACATCGAAAGGAATAAAACAAGAGGCCCATGGGCCATAATGGTCACCTGACTCGGTTTGACCCTTTTGTTCTTAATCAAATTTTTTTTCTATTGCATACTGAAAGGAAAGAAACACAGGGTAAATTTTTGAAGTGAATTTATGCTTATTTTTTTAAACATATTTTCCAGTAATGTTATCTTTCATTTAAAGTCAACTTTAATCAATAAGATACCAAAATTTCATTTTATTTTGACTATTATTGAGTTACTGAAATTCATATGATGCAACTCCAAAAAGGTGGGCTAATATGCTTTAAAGAATTTTCAAATTTAATTTACCTTTTTTTCATGCTTTGTAAACATTTAGTACATAAAACTTTTCACAATATATCACATGCAAATTTATTCAGATAAAAAAAATTAAATATCATCAGGCTTACCATCATTTGCAGCAAGCACTGTCAATGTATTCATTACGCAAAGCCAGGCATCCTCTGTAAAGAATTTCTTTGCGTGACTTTGTACATTTTTATCTAAAACTAGACTGCTTCTGTTTCTCAACTCCTCCGGATTAATAGTCACATGTTCTTCATCAATTTTTGTATAGAAGTTAAGAATGTCAGACAAAGACATATCTGCTGCCATTAATTCAATGAATTCTGCAAAATACAAAAAAGACAAATATTATGTCATTAATCCTAATGAATTTTAAAGAAATTAAAATTTTTTTTGTAACAAAAGCATTTCATATTTCTTGAAAAAAAAAACCCATTGGTAATCAGAAATTACAGAGAACACCTCATTAAAAACAATATTGTTTTTAAAAAGACAAAGCCCTATATTAAAATAATAATCTAGTAGGGTACAGCCCAAGATGTAAAATTTTGGCAATTTTGATCCGATAGGGCTTGCAGTTACTTCGGAATAGACTTACTAGTATCCAAAAACTTCGAACTAGTCACTTATCCAGAAAATGTAATTCAAATGCGGAATCTGAAGCAAGTTTGAGAATGTTCATCCCTTGATGCATCATCCATGCAAATTTGATTCAAATAGACCTTATGGTTTTTAGTAAAATACCTGACCCAAAACTTTAACTTTAAAACTTTAGGGAACAGCAGTATTTAAAAATAGGCCCAAAGGCCTCATAGAGGCCACCTGAGTATCAAGCAACAACAAAATGAAATTCACAATTTTGAAATAGGCACAATTGCTAATCATAACTGCTTACTTTGATTACTTAATACCCGGAGGTAGATCAGAGGAGCAAAAAAAAAAAACAAAAACATTTCCATTATACAATCCATAGTGCTCCACCCAACAGGAGCCCCTGGCCCTGGGGCCACAAATTTCACAATTTTCAAAAAGGCACCTTGGTTCACCATAAATGGTTAATTAATACCAAAGAGCAGATTTCAATGCATTAATTCATTTTTCAGAATATGTACCCCCTCCCCACGGTACCCCTGACGAGGGTCCATGACATTCATCATAATTTTAGAAGAAGCACCTTTCTTCATCATAAAAATATACATAGATCATTGGTGTTATATCCAGGAGCAAAGGGGAAAAAAATCCAAGAATTCAAGCATTTTCACTATATAATCAATAGGGCCCACCCTAGAGTGAGTGACTCAGGTAACTTAAAAAGATAACTGCACCAAAAACTTAAACCTAGAATGCCGACACTGATGCTTAGAGTATCACATAAGCTCTCCCCAACTTTGTTAATGCGAGCTGAAAATACTAGGTAATCAAGGAGTACAAAGATCATCTCAACAAATGATGCATACATAAAGTACATATAATGATATGCTTATGCAATTAATTTTAGCTAGACACGAAACAGCATACAATCAATCAATACTGTAAACATATTATATTTAGCGGTGTATTCTATTTAGCGACTTTGGTGGAAAGCTTGAGTCCGTTAAATCAAGTACATTGCTAAATGTCTTCTAAATCATACATTTATATCTAGCACATTCAGATAGCGCTAAATCAAATCTATGCTAACTTGTTGGAAACTTAATTTCCGCCAAATATTGTACACGCCAAATATAATACTTTTACAGTTTTTCAACTTTGTTCCTTTTTTTCCATTCAAGATATTCCTCATACACATGGATTACTAAACTATCAAACATACCAGAGAGAGTTTCAACTTGAACTTCTTTGGCACTTGACTTCTTTGAGTTGGATAGGGCTGTAAGAATAACTCTTTACATTTATCATCATCTTACATGTATTATACCAGTATCATCATAATTTTCTTCATGATTATTGAAACAACTTTGGTAGAATTGTATTTCAGTGTAATAGTTTTAATAGGATATAAATTTGTTTGATTAAAGAATGCATGCATAAACTTACATGTATCAATGTTGCCTTCCAACTGATTTAAAAATTTTCCAACTTTTGTAATTGTTCTCATAGCTGGAGGGCATTGATAAACGTTTTCATTCATTTGCTTTGAATGCCCAAGGTGTTTGTAAAACATTTCTCTATCACTTGGTGACACATCTAGCAGAGCATAAGAAGTGGCAACATAATGTCTCATATCTGTTGCACTTATATTATGCTCCAACCCTGCTTTTTTGCATAAATTACTAACTGCATACCACCCTGAAGCATGATTCTTTGAATGCTTCATGTTTGGGAAAGCATATTTATTCTTCTCATTAATTTGAGCAGCTCTGCGTACCTCACAATCTGTTAAAATTTTCATAGGTTGCCAACAGTCCTTGGGTATAAGAAGTGGCACCAACTTGGATACCTTAGAGGCATGTATGTAGGCTATTTTATTTTCACACAGTAACTTTTTTTCTATGTCATCTTCAACATGCTCAACTTTTTCTTGGTCAATCCATACGTCTTGGAGGGCATCTTCCCAGTCTTTAATGGTCATTCTGCTGGGTTCTCCACCTCTCCTGGCATTAAAGAGTGTTAATCTGCATACTACAGCATCTCGTAGCTGGCTAAATTTTGTATAATCTAAAGTTTCAAACATATCTGCGGAAAGTCTCTCAATGATATCTTTTGTACAGTCCCTTAACTGCTCTATTTCTTTTTCACTTGGTAGTCTGACTGGCCTTCTTAAATCTGACTGTCTCTTTTTAACCACTGACTCCTCAGCACTGGCAAAAAAGGAAGGCCAAATCAGCTGTAAAACTGAAATGAATTTTGCCATTTCTTCTGCTTTTTCATCTTGTTTCAGCAAAAGGTAATTTGCCCTCATTACCTTGCAAACATCAGATATCAGATAACGCAGAGAAACTTTCAAGCCATTTTTTACTGCTTTTGTTTCTTTGTCTGTTGTCATTGAACAAATAGCATCTTGAATATAGAGAATGAAATCTCTATCGAACATCTGGCTGCATGAATTCAATTTTATACATGGGTTATCTTTTGAAACTATCTGTTTAAACTCCATGAAAAGATGAGCTAGGCGTCTAAGGTTTGACATTAAAGATGACCTTTTTTCTGTTCTTTTTTCAGTGCCCTCAAAATTTTGGAAGCAGAGATAACCATATCTTTTGATCCAGTCATCAGATCGAATCAAAGCTCCAACTTCATTATCATGAAAGCAATTCAGAATCTCTTGTATATATGAATCTGAAAAGATTGGCTGGGTACCTAACAGTTTAATGCTAAATGTTGTTGGGTAGTCAGTTGTACCTTCTGCAGAGGAACACCTTTTCTTGTGTCTGTTTATGATCTTTTTGTGATAGAACCCTTTACAAAGGGAACACATAGCCAAAGAATCATTCTCTTGTCTTCGCTGATTCATAAGCTTGCTGTAGTCTGGATTTTCTTTCATAAGAACATCAGTATTGGCTTTGAAAATCCCCTCTTTTTTCATTTTTTCAAACTCTTTGTCTCTCAGATCCTTAGGTAATGCTAATGCAGCTTTAACACTTTCTTCAAACTTGTGTCTTCTTTTTATGTGATCCGTGAGTCGAGAAGCCATTGTTCCGCAAAATGGGCATGGTCTTCTTGGTCTGGATGTTTTAGATTTGTCTTTGTTTCCTTTAAATAATTTATAGACTATATAGCTTATCAAAGAATTATAAACAGTAAGCATGCTTCTTTCTAAGATATACAATAAAATCTTTTATCTGAAATGTGAATATAATAGTACTGTGGAGTTAATGAAGTTCATGCACACATTAAACAGTATTCTTTTAATGTCGGGGTCACTCCTTGAATACAATGACGTCATTTTTTTTTTATCAATTAATTCATGTAATTCATGTATATATCCAAGATTTATCAATTTCCTTTCAGAAGATATAGCTTATATCTGTAAATAAACTGACTCTTATTAAGATCTTAATTCTTAATTAAAGAACAAGGTATGGATTCAATACAAATCTGGCCCTGTATTTTCTTAAGGACATATGCAACGTAGTTTGAATTTTATTGGCCTTTTTCCTGGAGTTGAAGAGTTCCACTACATGAAGGACCTGTGTGCAATGCTTTTAATGTCTATATATGGTGTTATACACCTCTTTTAAAACAAATTTGAAGAAAAAAATCTGGAATTTAAGTTAATATATTTTTTTTAATATATATATTTTTCCTTGCATATTGCAAGAATTTTCATTATTTGATATCTGTTCAAACCCCCTGGAAACGCATGCTGATTTTTTGTCTAAGAACATGTAATGGTACTATAATTTTAAATTTAAAATATCTTGAAAAATTAGCAGTAGGTAAGGTACATAGCGTATGTCCTTAAATTAAGAAAAGTAACGTAAGAAATTAAAATCATGAATGTGTGCATTTTCCCATATATACTTTTAAAATGCAGAAGACATCAATTTTCAGTAGAATTTTCTTTCAGAAAACATACAACGCATGCATCGCCTAGGAAGATTTGGGGAAATCTGATTTTTCAAAGCATTTTACACAATATATCCAACAAGAGGCCCATGGGCCTTATAGGCAACCTGAGCATCTTGCAACAACTTTCTAACCATTGAATTTGGTTCACGTTTTAAACCAGAGTCCATGACATTCACAATTGCCCATCTTAACTATACACTTAGCATGCTTAGTTTTGTTACTTAATCCCCATAGGCAGAGTAAGGAAACAAAAAAATGCATTTCAACTAATCAATTATATCAGCAATAATCAGCATTGCCCCGACCCCACAGGAATCCCTGACCCTGGAGCCAAACATTTCATAATTTTGGAAAAGGCACCCTTGCTTAACATGAATGTTAGATTAATACTAAGGAGCAGATTTTAAAGCATTAATGCATTTTCAATAAATAATCAATAGAGCCCTGCCCTTACACCAGAACCCCTGACCCTGGGGCAATGAAGTTCATAATTTTAAAAGAGGCACACCTCCTTACCATAACTTTACATTAGATTTGTTTGTTTAATAACAAGGAGCAGAGATGAAGATTTTCAAAGAAATAATGCATCTTCACTATATAATCAATAGAGTTCCGCCCTAACACCAGAACCCCTGACCCTGGGGCCATGAAATTCACAACTTCGGAAAAGGCATCCTTCCTTATCACTACAGTACTATACATTATATTTCTTTCTTATATACCAAGGAGCAGGGACGAAGATTTTCAAAGAAATAATGCATCTTAACTATATAATCTATATAATCCCACCTTATCACTAGAACCTCTGATACTGGGGCCATGAATTTCACAAATTTGATAGAGGACTTTATGCTTATTACATTCATGACTACAGTTTGACTGCTTGATGTCTAGGAGTAAAGTAAAGAAGAAGATATTTTAAAGATTGCATTAATTGAAGTGGTTTTTGTCCCACCCCTCAGGCCCCATGGGGACAGGGACCATGAAATTCACAATTTTTGTTCCCCATCACTCATAGATGGTATATGCCAAAATTGCCTGAAATTGGTTGAGCGGTTGCAGACAAGAAGCTGAAAATGTTCAAATGTTAAAACAGGACGCACCATGCACAACGTACAACAACAGACCGAAACGGATAGCAATAGGTCTTTACTTAGGTGATAGCAACAGGAGTTTATTTAGGTGACTTAAAAGAACAAGGTACGGTTTCAATACAAATCTTGCCCTGTGTTTTTCTTAAAAATGAAAATGATGTAAAAAAATTAAAACTCATGCTTTCTGAATTATTGAAATTCCATGCAGAAAGATCATACAAATTTTTTTTCTCACATGACCTTCTAAATGCTAATTGTGATGTCATAAACTTGTGCATTTTCCTGTAATTTCTTAAAAAGTTGCAGAAGACACCAATTTTCAATGGAATTTTCTTTCAGAAAATATTGTCCACAGGCATTGCCCACAAAGATTTTGAGATATGTGATTTTTCGAAGAATTTTACACAACATATCCGAAAACTAATCTGGGCGACGGCTGTGGACACTATTTTCTTAAGGAAAATAACCCTTAAAATGGGTCATTTTGAGGCTTTTTCTGTTTAAAATAGAGAAATGCATCAAATTAATGACATCATATATCCAGAATGGTACTCCATCATGCCATATTCTTTCCTGTTTTTTCACAGTCATATGCTCAACTAATATTTAAGCCAGTTTCAAAACTTTTTGAAAACATTAAATTTTTAGGGCACAATAAAGATAAAACCATACCTTCTTCTTTGAAATGGGCGACAACTGCAGACACTATTTTCTAAAGGAGAATAACTACAAAATTTAGTCATTTTGAGGCTTTTCTACATAAAACTTAGAAATATACCAAATTATATTAATGACATCATTTTTCCAGAATGGGCCTCCTTCATGCCACATTCTTTAACGAATTATCATAATCTTCTACTCAATTCATATTATAGCCTATTTCATAACTTTCTAAGAAATTTTTAGGGTACAGTAAAGCATAAACCGTACCTTCCTCTTTACACGCCAAAGAGTTAAACTAAATGGACCAGAAGTGAAAACAATTGCCATAGGTTTCTAATAACTTACTAAACTACCTGTCCATGTATATAAGCATTTGAATTTAATTTGTCAATTCGATAGAAATAATTCGTGTTTTCAAGATATACTGTACTTTTGTTAGCATACATGCCAACTTTCCTGATTTTTTAAAGGACCCTACTGCCTTTACCACCAACGCCCTCCCAACCCCCATTGCAATTCTTTTTTCTGAGGTAGGCAAACAACTTTACAATGAAATTTGGAGAGAAAAAAAATTCTTTTAATTTTTTTTACCACATTTCTTTTTTAATTGCAGATTTTCTGTTTTCATTCTTCTACAAAAAGACTTTTAACAAAAAAATATTTCCTATTCTTTTTAACCTTTAGTCATGATAATTGCATTGCATACCTGCTGAGTTGGGACAATCTGTATCTTGTTTTCCTTCAGTTGTACCATTCTCACCACTGTTTTGAGAATATGGATTAGATGTTGTAAAATTGCTGCTGAGATTTATCTGAAATTAAAAGTGTTCATAATGTTTAAATTATTGGTACATGTGTACTAGCAATCTGAAAATATTTTAGTCATATGTTAAGGACAAGTTTACTTAGCCTCTGACAAGTATATAAACAATATTCTCACACAGTAATAATATAAGTTGCAGTATTGTTCTCAAAAAGAAAATTTGAAAAGATTTTACACAATAAGAAAATGCAAAATAATTATTTTGTATTCCTCATGAAGTCTAGGGGTTATGGTGTGAACAAACTGGAAACTATTTCATGATGCTTGCATGGTTGTATCTCAAATTTTAGAATTTTCATATAAATTGTTAGGCCATGCTTTTATTTCGTGTTGACAGATTTTCATATAACATGATTATGACAATTAGTACATGGTGGGTGAAATTTTTTTTGCAATTTTTGCATATGCCCTGCATTGGCAAAATATCTTTAAAAAAATAAAAAGAAATGATGCACATTAAGTTATTTTACTCCTAAGTGAACCCTATTACTTTTACCTCATGCCCAATGCCCTCTTGCACCGAGTCTTGTCCAATCTCCTCTGGCACTAAGTCTTGTTCAATCTCTGGCATTGAGACTTGCCCAATATCTTGTGACACAGAGTCTTGTCCAATCTCCTCTGGCATTGAGTTGTGCCCAATCTCCTCTGGCACTAAGTCTTGTCCAATCTCCCCTGGCACTGAGTCTTGCCCAATCTCCTCTGGCATTGAGTTTTGCCCAATTTCCTCTTGCACTGAGTCTTGTCCAATATCCTCTGGCACTGAGTATTGCCCAATCTCCTCTGGTACTGAGTCATGCCCAATCTCCTCTGTTACTAAGTCTTGCCCAATTTCCTCTGGCACAGAGTTCTGTCCAATCTCCTCTGGCACCGAGCCTTGCCCAATCTCCTCTGGTACTGAGTTTTGCTCTATCTTCTTTTGCATTGAGTCTTGCTCAATATCCTCTGGCACTGGGTTTTGCCCAATTTCCTTTGGCACTGAGTTCTGTCCAATATCCTCTGGCACTGAGTCTTGCCCAATCTCCTCTGGGACTGAGTCATGCCAAATTTCCTCTGGCACTGAGTTTTGTCCAATATCCTCTGGCACTGAGTCTTGAACAATCTTCTCTTGCAGTGATTCTTTAACAATTACCCCCTGTAGTGGCTCTTGAACTATCACCTCCTGTAGTGGCTCTTGAACTATCACCTCTTGTAGTGGCTCTTGAACTATCACCTCTTGTAGTGGCTCTTGGACTATCACCTCCTGCAGTGGCTCTTGCACTATCACCTCCTGTAGTGGCTCTTGAACTATCACCTCCTGTAGTGGCTCTTCAACTATCACCTCCTGTAGTGTATCCAATGGTAATTTTTTAAGCAGCACTCTGCATTCTTTTTTCTACAAAAAAAGTCATAAAATAATGCTGATAATCTAGATAATAAGGCCAGTCTTTTTAATTTCTTGGATTAAAGATTTTTTTGTAAATCTTTTATAGAACTGTGTGATGCCACACTACAGTAGGTGGTCGTGGTTTGAACCAACTTGAAAATGCGCTATCGAGGATGCTTCCATATAATATGAGTGATCTTGGCTGATCTTGGCTTTGCTGTTCTTGAGAAGATTTTACAGTTTTCCTATTTATTTCTATGTAAAACTTTAATTGTCCATACTACCCCTTGGGGTATGATTTGAACAAATTTTAATCAACACTACCTATGGATTCTTAGATATAATTATGACTCATTATGGCTCTGCTGTTCTTTACCAGAAGATTTTTTTTTTTAGATTTCTCCTATGTATTCCTAAAGAAAACTGACCTAATTGTTGCCCTACCCTACCCCAAGGGTGTCATAATTAAAAAAGATTCTAAATTATTTCAGTGATTCTGCTATATAAACATAATTAATCATCGCATCCTGCAAATAATATTAAAGATTCTTCCTATTTATAACCATGTAAAACTTTGCTTACCCATAATTGCCCAAACCTACACCCAGGTGTCATGATTTGCACAAATTTGAATCCTAACTATCTGAAGTTACTTCCTTATCAACATGACTAATCATGGCTTAACTTGATAAAAGTTTCAAAGAGGGATTCTTCTCCTATTTATTGTTTTTAACAAAAAGTGTTTGTAAAACACTGATGCTCTCATATGGCAGCTTGTGGTTAAGGTTTAATTTTCTCAACTGCAAGTCAGATTCCAAATGTCAAGATCAATAGGTCAAAATTTTTAGCATTAAGGGAAAGGTCTTTTCACAAGGAATACACCTGTGAAATATGAAAGCGCTAGAACTAACTATTCAAAAGTTTTGATCAAGGTTAATGTTTTTTTACAAAGTGGGTCTAACTCTAAGTTCAAGATCAAAATGTCGAAAATATTCATACTAATTGAAAGGTCTTGTCAAAATGAATAAAAATATAAAGTATAAAAATAAAAATATGAAGCATGAGAGCCCTAGCACAAACTGTTCAAAAGTTATTCATCAGTATGTATCAGCATATGAAGTTTGTTAAAAATATCTTGAATGGTTTCATTAAAACTGAGCTAAGCACTAATTTAAGAAAAGTGAGGTCAAGGTCAAAAGAAAGGTAAAGGTCAAAAAATATTGCTACAGTTGAATAGTTGACGGTAGGACAGAAGGACAGAAGGACAGAAGACGGTCATGACAAACACTATATGCCCTGGCCATATTCATGGCGGGGCATAAAAAGTCAAATTTGGTGGTTCTTAAAGAAAGGTCTTGTCACAAGGAATACACTTGTGAAATATGAAAGCCATAGCCCCTTTCAAAAGTTATTGGCAAGGTTAAAATTTTTGCGGACATTCAGACAAACAGCTAGACAGACGGACAGACAGGAAAAAAACTATAATCCCCCGAATCTTCTGGCAAAAAAACTGATGAAATTTTAATAACATATTCAAGAGGACAATATCACTAAATGATGGTACAAATGGAGTTCAAAATGATAGTACAAAATAAAGGCAGAGCTTTCTAATTTAAGAAAAAGATGAAATACAAAACTTCTCCTAACCACCTATAACAAACATTAAAAGCCCAGAACATGTGGATCAAAATCTATTGTGTAAATTTCTTACTTGCAAGTCCTTTATGATTCTGGCAGTTTCATCTTGTCTTTCTTGTCTGTTATGACCCTATATACAAAAAATTGAACATATTACATCAAAAAGATTGCTATCATTAACAGCTGCTTTTTCAATAAAAATGGAACTCGTAAATATACTTACCTTGTCATTGGTCATTTGCAAAATTATTTTGTTAAAAAACATTCTGGTTGTACACACAAGTACTCTGAAGTTGATATTAAAAAGATGTTTGAGTTTCTGAATGACAGTATCTATGTTGTTTTTGGAGACTAGGTCTTCCAACAATCAATTGGAATTCCCATGGGTACCAATTGTGCCCCATTATTAGCAGATCTATTTTTGTATTCTTATGAAGCAGAATTTGTCTAAAATCTTATGCGTGAAAAGAAGAAAACACTTACTGTGGCCTTCAACTCGACATTTAGATATATCGATGACATATTGTCAATTAACAATGGTAATTTCCATTCTTATGTCGATACGATATTTTCTGGTGAGCTTGAGATAAAAGATACCACAGAGTCTGACACATCTGTTTCATATTTGGATATTTTACTTGAAAAAGACATTAATGGTAATCTTACAACCAAGCTCTATGATAAACGGGATGACTTTATCTTTTCAATCGTCAACTTCCCTTACTTATGCAGCAATATACCTTCATCACCTGCATACAGTCAGTTTATACGAGGGGTTATCAAAAAGTTCGTGGACTGAGGCTATAAAATAAGTACTATGTAGTCTGTGTTTTCAAAATTTAATAAGAACATAAAACAACAAAAAATAAAGAAATGTTGAAAATTTTTGCTTAATACATTCATTATTTGCCAAATTATTATACTGTCATATCACACATTTTCATGGGGTCAAATTTTTGTGGTTTGCGGAAAAACTCTTGGTTCGTGGGGATTTTATTTCGTGGATAAAGAATTGTTGAGTAGTTATGTATGTAACATTTTACATTTTGTGGTGGACATGAATTCATGGGTCTCACTGTAAAATAAAAACCACATTATATGATCAACTGGTGCCGTCGCCGTTTAGTTTTTTGACGTCCGTCAACGTCATTGTTTTTCAATGTCAGCTTCTTCTACCTCATACACTTATTTTGATGAAGTTCCCTTGAACTGAGTAAGGACTTAAACCTGTCTTGTTTATATGACTTTACAATGTCATAAACAGCAGCTTTCAATGCATTTAATATTGCAAATGGATTTATACATTGGGAGAGATCTCTCTTGATTGTGCCAGCATATTTTTCTTTTTGGAGTTTCATATCTACAACACATGATCGACGTCATTTTTGATGTGATTGATTTTTCACACCTTGACTACAAATCGACATTAACTGTGCATCCCTTTTCTCTCTGAATCTCTTTTGGCATTAAAAAACAAGTACTCTGGATGCATTTTATTTCTCTGTAGCTAAACATTTCCTAGGTCTATACCAGTTTTTTCAGGGGCCAAACTTTATAGAATGTTCGAAAAGGAAACCCCTCCCCTCTTTTGATGTCATTTTCAAGGCCTTATTTGTTTAGACACTACATGTAAAATTTACGATAAATTTTCATAGAACTTCCAGAATGAGGTAAAAATTCCATATTTCATGGAACAATATTGTACTAACACATACCTGAATTAACGGGATTTTTGGATATCAAATGTTCATATCCAAAGAGTTTTTCTCAGTTATACTTAGGTCAAAAAAAACGTCGTCTTCGAGGTTGCACCGCCTTGACATGTCATTGCTTACAAAAACATTACTAATTTATTAAAAAATAAAATGTATGGCTTGTGGTTTATTCTGTAGATAGAAAAGATGATGCTAACTAGATATTTTAAAATTCATTGATCTACCTAAAGCGGTTTACATTTTATGGCGCTAGTCCACGAACTTTTTGATACCCCCTCGTATATCTCAGTTGATTCGATACGCAAGATCATACTCTACGTATGAACAATTTCTAAAACGAGGTAAATTATTGACAAACATGTTGTTGAAACAAGAATATCAGCAGTCTCGTTTAAAGTCATCATTTCGTAAGTTCTATGGTCAATACAATGACCTTGTAAGCAAATACAATTTATCATTGAGTCAAATGCTGACTGACGTTTTTCATACTAATTGTTAGTCCATTATTTATACAATGAATTGACGACGGATTTTTCCGTTATTTCCCGATCATGACAAGGAGCACACAGTGGGTGTGACCGGTCAGCAGGGGATACTCACTCCTCCATGGCACCTGATCACACCTGCTGTTTTGGAGGTCCGTGTTTGTTCTGCTCTTATTTTGTATTGTTTTATGGACTTTTGATCTTGAATACTGTTTGTTATCTCCATATATTTCATGAATATCATTTCATGTTTTTCAGAAAATAATCACAAAACTTCCATATTTAATATAATTAATTTTATTCTTTAATATATCTCCTATGACATATATAGACATTGTAACAGCCTAGAGATATGACCAATTGGTTTATACAGTTATTGAACCTGATTTGTCCTGAATATTGTCCAAATTTGTAGGAACGTTAAAATAAGCTTGAAATGTTTATGTGTATTTACTTAACATTGCAGAAATATGCATAATTTACCTTTTTCGTGTAGTTAACAAGTGATTATTGACAATTTTAAGTGATTTGTATCTGTTTAAATAAGATATGCATGTAAATCTTCTGTGTCCGTCTTTGTGTTTTACGTTAGTGGGTGGGGACTATTGAAATTGACATGCGAGGCCTTGTGTAATTTAAATCTATTGTATAACATTTTTTAAATCCTTCAAAGCCCTCAACAATGGCCTGCCTTCTAGAATATAATCATATCACCCATCATACTCAAACAATTCTATTCAAAAATAAATTGTGCTATTTAAATGTTACTGAGAAACAGACTCTGGAAAAGGTTTTAATTGATTCCTCTACAATTAATTTGAATGCTTCAGATTCAAACAAAAAAGAAAGGTTAACAAAGAGAGTGCTAACATTTCAAACATCTTGATGAGTAGTTGCTGAGAAAACTGTGACAAAATTCGTTAATGATAAACACACAGTTAAACAGACAGACAGACACACAAAGGTAAAACAGTAAACCCCCTCTTCTTCAGAGCTTGGGTATATAATAATAAAAAGTGCTTTACTTTTTTCCCTGTTTCTAAAGTTGACATATATAAAAATAATTACAGCTGCATTCAGTTGCAAGAAGTGGAGGAAAAAATACCTGCTTCCTCCAAGGAAGATCTGGTACACCATAATCATATCTTATCTCTTCTCCAATTTTTATTTTTCTTTTTGCAAAAAGAGCTAGATGAGGTTTTCCTTTACTGGATACACATTTCATTGTGGCATTTTGATGAACATCATCAGGCCCTGCATCATTGGCAAATCTGCCTCTTCTAGATGATTCTGTTGCATCCAAACTGTTAATTAAAAACAGTCATTTTATTAAAAATAATATCACTAATATGTACATTTAATGACAATACAAACTACTGTTAATTGTACAGGGACCATTACAGATGTTCCCCAAACGCTCCCCAAATCCCTTTTTTGTGCCATTTTCCTGTAAGATTTTTTTTAATATGCTTAGTCTCGAAGGATTTCATAAAAGAATTATAAAAGTTACAATGATATCAACTATATGTCTTTTAACGTATTGCATGCGCACACACGAGCATGCATATGCAAGATGGTCATGGCAAGTTGTCTTAACGATTAACATATATCTTTATATCCTGAGAATTAAAAAAATCATAAAAATATGTTACCATTTTTCAAGTATATTGGTCATTTTACGCATTGCAAGTGCACACTTGAATGCATGTCCTTGCAATCACTTTTGATAGTAGCAATTTATGTAGGCATTCATTATACCTATTCACATTCTAAATTTCATCCTGTTCCATTGAGAAGCAATTAAGTTATAGGCATTTAAAGTTTAAGCCAATCAGATTGCAGCTCACGTGCATGTGCATGCTTTCTTGATAAATCTTCTATATGATGCTGTAGAACCTGCTAATGTATGACTATGTTTAAAATTTCAAAGTATTTTGTCAAAAAACAAGAAAGATATTGAGACTTGTTTCAGTCAATCAGAGCATGTGTGCGAGTTCAGGCTATTCAGACAATGTCATTGTCTATATTACTAATATATCCTTTATATATTACGAGTTTCAAAGCATTTCATCATAAAATAAAAAAGTTACGGCTATAATAATTATATTGGTCATTTTACGCATTTCACGCACATGCATGCATGTGCGTAGCTGCAGAACTGTAGCTCTCTGCTTGAGAAAATTCGGACAGATTAAGCAGAGAGCTACAGATCCATGCATTGTAATAACCTTTGACTTACGCCGCCGATTTTTTGTCTTATTTTTGTATTATTTCTTATATTTTATGTTTTCCTCAGCTTTATAAACAATATCAGATAATCAACCATATATTTAACTCCTATTCCTTAATGTAGCTAGCACGTGCGCGCAAAATGGCCTTGATTCCGCAAATCTACATAACATGCCTACTGACCCTAAAAAGGTTTCACCACAATTGGATGGGTAGTTCTATAGATCTATAACGGAAAAATAAGTAACCAGGAAGAACAAGCAAATTCAAAGAATTGTGGTCCCCCGCTTTCGGTGTCTTTGTGGGTGAGATTTCATCTTTAATGGCATATTGTGTCAAATATGAACGCCCTATCATATGCCATTCAGAAGTTATCACCGAAGTTGATTTTTTTTTAAAATTAGGTCAATCGTGAAGTCAAGGTGAAAGGGTCAGAAATCATAACATGCTCAAAAATATCTTGTCACAGGTAATGCACTTGTCTAATATGAAAGCCCTAGGCTATGTCTTTTCAATCTAAAGTTTGGGGTCAAAAATCATAGTGTAATTAGAAAGGTCTTGTCACAGGTAATAATACCAATATCAAATATCAAAGCCATATCTCTTCTCATTCAAAAGATATAACCAAGGTTAAAGTTTTGTGACGGACGGACAGACTGACGGACTAACAGACGGACAGATGAATGAGATTTGATGTCCTCTCACAGCGATTTTTTTCTACCCATTGGGAAAGGGTCCGGTACCGGTTCAATTGGGAAAAATAGCATCGAAGTAAAACGAAGGAGAATTTTCTGTCATTGAAACAAATGAAACGCATTTTGTGTTAATTCCAATCTCATTACCTATTACTCCATGTTTTAAAGAATAAACAACAATTATTTATTGTTTTTATATCAATATCCGTTTTTTTTTTTTTTTTTTTTTGCTCTTTCATGCTTTTAATTTGTGTATGACACCACGCTGTTTACACAACAGGTCCCGCCATATTTATTTACTGATCTCTACTTTCGATTTAAGCGGAAGTGAAACAATTAGTCAACTTGTACACTGTTTCATATGAAAATAAATACGATATCATCATAGTCAGTTGCTTGACAGTTGAATTGGGAATTTTTAGTCTTAAAATTGGGAAAAATTAACGTTTTTTGGCATTGGGAATGGTACCGTTTATCGGTACCAGTTATATAAGGAAAAAAACGCTGCCTCGCTTTCGCGAAAGCGGGGGACAAAAAAAGAACTAGATGTGTTCTTGTTGGTAGAGCGACAAATGGTCTTCCGATTGACTTATGCTACATCATCCCATTGAATACATGTAGATTACATCTTCTAATGTTTTTTGTCCCCCGCTTTCGGGTTGTCCCCCGCTTTTGCGAAAGCAAGGGGGACATTATATCTCTATCGTCCGTCAGACTAGCTGTCTGTCCGTCCATCACAAAACTTTATCCTTGGTCATATCTTTTGAATGAGAAGAGATAGGGCTTTCATATTATACACGTGTATTACCTGTGACAAGACCTTTTTACATGCACTATGATTTTTGACCCGATGAAGTTTGACCTACTTTTAAAAAAATAAACATTACATTGAATTGGCCATAACTTTTAATGAGAGGAGATAGGGGTTTCATATTAAAGAAGTGTATTACCTGTTTCAAGACCTTTCTAAATACACCATGATTTTTTACCCCATGACCTTGACCTAGAAGGTTGACCTACTTTTTAAAAAATTTTAACCTTGGTCATGACATTTGAATGAGAAGAGATATGGCTTTCATATAAGACCTGTGTATTGCCTGTGACAAGACCTTTCTAAATGCACTATGATTTTTGACCCCATGACCTTGACCTTGAAGTCTGACCTACTTAAAAAAAATAAAGATTTAAAATTGGCCATATCTTTTGAATGAGAAGAGATAGGGCTTTCATATTATACATGTGTATTATCTGTGACAAGACATTTTGATATTTAGAGAAATGAGGAATCTCTTTAGTGCTAGCATGCACCTACTGCAACATGGGAACCTCAATATATCATGGTCCATTTACCAGTTAGTATAGCTGAAGTATTGTAAATTGAACACCGATACTGTAGACCACTGTATTTTTGCAACACCTTATTTTCACGAGATAGCTATTTGGTATTTAAAAGCAAGACGAAATGTTCGCAATGTAAGATTTTTGTTATTTTAACAATCCTTACTAATACAAATGATGACTGCACTTAACGCCTGTTTTGGGGTCTTTTTCGGTTGCTTCTCTTGCTCTTATATCTAAACCTTATTTCACTTTTGTATGTTTATGAAAGAATCCTGTCAATTTTGAACCAAACTTAAATCTTAAAATGATTTTAGACACATTAAAAAAAATTCTATGTTTTTGTCTGTACTGTTTTCCAAATAATTATAGTGAATTTACACTTACCTGCCCTTGATTGAACATTAGATATGCATGAGAGGTGGAGCTAACGTTGTAAGAATGGGTCTAAAATTAGACTTGATAAATAACAATGAGATGTTTGAAAAAAAGAATGTGATCACTCTTTCCAATCTCCCTCTCCATTCTGTATGGCACAAATGCACTTCTGACAAAGGTTTCAAAACGAAATTAACAATATGAGCACGTCAATGTAAGTAAAGCAGATTTTATATCAAATCCAGATGACTTAACATGTTCGAACACAATGTCCTAGTTAGCACAAAACATACTACCTTACAAGTTACGCGACAGAATTTAGTATTCACAAAGTTACCTGAGGCAAGAAATCACGTGGTGAATTATAATACTCAACTAGAAACTCATTGCGAGCACTGAGAGGTCTTCTGTACGATTTTGAAAATAAAAATGTAAATTCAAGCTGAAAAAGTGACACTCTGGATATTTAACCCTGGTCGTCAGCGTGAGAATCCAATGTGCTAACCATTACCCCATTTCAACTCCCACTTCAAAGTGAAATTGACAAATATCAAAAGTTTGGATTTATCAATTCGAAAGCAAATTATATATTTAGTATTTTGAAAGGAGGCTCTCTTAACCCTACAAATAATATAGAAAAATACTGAAGTTGAAAAAATCGATTTTTTAAATTCACTTCCGGAAGCAACCCGAACTAACGACGACGCATAGAGATTCCTTCACCAATCTAGAAATCATGTTCTATCAAAAAAACAAAAAAAATAACAACAAAAAACAACACTCAGCATCAATTAATAAGTTGAAAACGTAAATTTAAGCAAACAAATTCGGGATTAAATCCAGACTGCCTTCGTGAAAATTTAATATGGAAGCCACTACAGGTTAAAAGTTTTTTTATATACTATGGAATTATAGAATGAGAGCTAGCTAGCCAAATTTTGTGCAAGCAGATTCACATCGGAATTCGTTACTTGAGTTTAAACAATAACAAATAATCCAGAGCTCCAGATAATTTTTTACCTCAAAGTGTATTTACTCCCTGATTTTGAAATCAATGCAGATTTTGCTTTTCAGCAAAATAATCAAAGAGTATAATGTTAATCAATTGCTCTTTTGACATCTAATGTTGGACAGTGATCAGAAATGGCGGCGGGAATGTTTGAGTAACCGCCGTATTATGTTTTCAACAAGATTTTTAGCTTGTTATCGATGTAAGTGTTTTTGAAAGAGGAATGTAAAAGAAATGTTAGTTTCTGCATTTATCAATTAGGTTAATGAAATTTTAAAAATTTTGTCAGCTTTTAGTTATAACCGAGAAACATTTCGGTTTTTTTTTCAGGAGAAAGACCACACGATAGGCAAAGTTACCACAGGCACACTGAATTTCATTTAAGATTAGGCCTATATCAATCATAGCAAGAGTTACTGAGACCTTTGGCCAAATAAAATTAATCTTTAGATTCTAATCCCCACCTGCCCCTCTCAAAATATCCACCTCCGTTGTTTCCCATGTTGTTTGTTTGTTTGTTTTTTTAATCAGAAATATATATACTAGGTTTTGCTATATAAATTGTTGGCATCGATAGAGGTATAAGTTTTAGAGTTACTCCCCATTTGCATTAAAAGTCGTGTGGTGCTATTTATAGCACAAGAGCATGTGAAAAGCAAAAACGCAATATTATTTTCATACAATTAATAAAAGTTGTCAGCGGACTATAGATGATAATGTTGCTACAGAAAATGGTTAATATATAAGAACTGTTTAATAAACAGTGATAAAGAATAAATTACACACAGCGCATGTTCAATTTTGCCCAATTTTGACAATATCACCTGTACGTGTCAAAAACGAAAATTTGGATGTTATATGAACAGTGGAAATCTGTGATATTTTCAGACAAAGTACGAGTATCTAATATTCAAATCTTTCTCTCGAACTGGAAATCAGTCTAGGTTATTCCAAATATATGCTAAATCAAAATTTCCTTTTGATAAAAATTCAAACACTGAGCTGACTTCAATTCACATAATGAGTTAAAATCCAATCCAATCCATTGTATGCAGTACTTTCTTAGTGTAATGCTTATTTATGATTGCTAATGCGTAAATGATTGCTAATGCGTAAATGTACGCCCTGTTTTAAATTTTAATGCATATTTCTGAAAAATTCAATGCATTTTCTGCAAATACGAGGGTTGTCCGTAAAGTTCATGGACAAGCTAAAATTTAAATAAAAGTTGCGTCATAGATATTTATCATTAGCATATTTATAATCCTTTACTATATGTGAATTACAAAATGAAAAATTTTATTCAATTTTAAGTGTATAATTACAATTATTGCTCCATTATTAGACTTGGGATGGTGACCCGGAGCACAACAAAGTTTTAATTAAAAACTTATGTATCACTTTATACATTTCATTTGTATTTTGTAAAATTCCTTGGAAATTTGGATGGCTTAAACATTATAAGGTTGATAAACGTTATAACGTCAAATCTGTAAAATTTGAACGTTCAAAGTTTCGAAATGGCAGAGAAATCGAGGTCAGAGTTTATTAAGACAGGATCGTCATTGTTCGAAAAAGGGACGTTTTCGGAAAAGATGGAACAGAGAGTAGTGATAAAATTTTGTGTAGACATCGGAAAAACACCAACAGAGATCCATAAATTCCTTAAACAGTCGGGAAATCATGGTAAAGTAATCTATTCTTTATGTGAAATAATATTTAACACACTTCCTATCTCAGATCCTGCAAATCATCAAACCTCTGTCCGCGTAAAACGACTTCATGTACGGAAATATGGCAAAGTCACGTTACGAACTTCATTTTTTACAACACTACAATCTCGGAAAGATGGTCTTCCTTCACGCATGTCATCTAGTAAACTGTCTCTTCCGTCCGAATATCTTCTGTGCCACTTAAACACAATGAAATCAGAACAGTTTGTGCACATTTTTGATCACTGGTTGAAGCGACATAAGAAATGTGTTGAGTTAAACGGTGACTACGTTAAGAAAACTTAAATGTATTTAGCTTTTGACGTTGAGTAACGTCAAGGATTTTTGTTTTAGTGCTCCGGGTATGAGTGTGTATCTTTTTTGTATCTGATAAAATATAACTATTTGTGCTTTGTTTGTAATTAAAACTTGCATATTAATAAACTGAAACACGAATTTAATGAAAATAATAATTTCATGTATTTTATCAATGTTCGTCAATAATTATAAATGTTGTCCACGAACTTTACGGACAACCCTCGTACACACCTTATCTGGAGCTCTGATAATCTATTACTGATGAACTGATGATACTGGAAGACCTTAACAAGTCACAGTCCTTGGTTACAACACAGAGAGCGAATGTACGAAGAAGCAGTTTTTTTTCTCTTTTTAACCATGAGTGCATGTTTGTATATTAATCTCCTTTTGACACATTATCATTTATGCAAATATACAACTACTGTAAAACGTAGAACAATTATAGACAAACATGCACCGACTATGTATAAAGTCAGTAAAAAAGTGGGCGTCCTCATTATTGAACGGAGATTTAAGAAATTGTGATGACCCCTGCCTTTGAAAACAGATTCAAAATTTGTAAATACATACTTTTATTAAGCGTAATTACATAAAGTTGTAGTTTGGATGTCGACCATTCTTGCAATGAAAAGAAAAATGCTTGTTTTGAAAGTTTATTTTGTCGCAAATTTCGCATGTCCTTAAGTGCAGTCAGCCTTTGAGGGTTGATCCAAAAGTTCGTGAAATTTCTCTCTAAAATTTTATTGTGTTGAATAGCTCTCATCAGTATGTATCATTATAAATATGAAGTTGATAACACTATCCTGAATGGTTTCCTTAAAACTGAGCTAAACACTACTTTAAGAATAGTGAGGTCAAGGTCAAAGAAAAGGTCAAGGTCCAAAAAGGTTGATGCAGTTGAACAGCTCTCATCAGTATATATCAGAATATGAAGTTTGATAAAATACTTATGAATGGTTTCCTTAAACTGAGCTAAACAGTGAGGTCAAGGTCAAAGGAAAGGTCAAGGTAAAAAATTTTGAAGCACTTGCATATCTCATTAATATCTATCAGCATATTAAGTTTTGTTAGAAATATCTTGGATAGTTTCTTTGAAACTGAGCTTTGAACAGAGCTAAACGCAAAGCGGGATGGAAGGACAGACGGATGGACAGAAGGATGGAAAACAGTCATGAAAACACTATATGCCCCTGCCATATTTGTGGCGGGGCATAATAAAACCATGACATTAATGTATATGATTTTTAGATAAACATTAAATTATAAAATAAAAATGCACCCAAATGTCTTAATAATACAAAAATCATTTTTTTTTTTAGATCGAAGTTTCTAAGCCCTTCCCTTATTTGTTTTTTTTGATATTGAGGGGTGCAAAAATTAGAATTGAAGATGTTCACTCTAAGATTATTACTCAAGAAAAATTTGATTATTATAATATAAAAAGAAAACACTCATAATGCTTTAGCTTAATACTATAGTACTTACCAGTACTTCTTGCTGTCCCAGACAAAAAAGTATATATAACTTCCTTTACTGGCAGGGTAAGTATTCTCACGCCTGATCCCCTCTTTGCGACTGATGAGGTCCCCCGCATATTCCACAATAAATTCTCCTTGCAGATAAGCCTTCTCAGCATATAAACCCTTTCCTAAAAAAAAAAAATTAACAACACCTTTCAGTGAACTTGGCATTAAGAATTGCAATTGCACTGCTGACAAATCCCATGATAGCATCACAGGCACCCGACAATGGATAGTGTAAACCCCCCCCCCCCCCCCCCCTCTTTTGAGAATATTTATTCGACAAAAAAAAATCAAAATAACATGAATTCATAGTCTATCATTCCTACACTATATTTCAAAATCTTGCCCTTTACAGTATTAAAAAAAAGTATATATTAAAGTATATAAAAATACTGAAAGTAAGAAACAAAATCTTGTAAACTACAGGATGTCCTGTTTCGAGGGAGATTTTCAATATTAATATAACATAACCCTTGCCAATGCAATTTATGCAAGACGTAATTCAGGGAGATGTTTTACAAGCCTCTTTCAGTCACACCCGGTCCAAATAAGTTATTTGTTCACTGGCAGGGAAACAGGTTTTGATTGTAGGTTGTGGAAAACATCCAAGGAGTTTCGATTAGCTAAATCTGGATTGTTTATTAATATGCTAAACAAAGTAGTGCTTGATGATTTTCTGTTTCGCTGCAATTTTTTTAAATTTATACCATATAAGGTCAATCTTTAAAACTTTACAAAAGCAGAAATGATATCAGATATTGAAATATAGAAGTGATAGCCTAGGAATTCTTTTAAGAAATTCAGAAGCTGGGGGTGGGGTGTTTACACCATCCATTCATCAGGTGCCCATGTCAGCACCTCATGGTATAAAGCCAGCAGAGCAAATGCAATTCATAATGCCAAGTTCACTGAAAGGTGTTGTTAAATTAAAACATTTCTTTTTTTTTTTTTAACATTTATTTAGAAAACAAAAGCTACACATACATGAATAATAAATAATAACTACAATAGCAGTACAGTTGATTTTTTGTGAATACAATACATGACTACAAGTTTTTACAATTATAAATGTCATTTGAATTCATTGGTAAAAGCAGCAGTTTTTTGACAGGTAATATTTTATCAATTCTTGTAGATGCACATTTATGGGGAAAATCATATACCTAACAAAATAATCAATGAATAAGTTTATAAATTAATTCTCCATAAACTTAACCATGTACATTGATGAATGATGATTCTACATTAAGTTTGTAGATCTACCCTTTAGCTCCCTTATACGAATAAAATGTTATGCATAGCTGTATAATGTTAAGCAACTCCAAGTTTTTTTCTTTGTTTAGCATCCACTCTAAATTTGAAAACCTATCTTTCTATTTGAAAAAAAAAAACCAAAAGGAAAAAACACATATTTTATGCATATAAATGGAATACTCTCCTTGCATTGTGAATAAGTTAATTTAAACTACAAGTTCATTGAAACAAAAAAGTTTGGTACACCACATAAAAAAAAAGAGATGTCGATCTCTAAAGAGTAAACTGCATTTCGAAGAGTTGTTTTTGTCAATATTAATTTGTGTTCGTTTATAATTTTATAAATCTCCAAGCCAATCTATCAATGGATGCTTAACATAAAAAAAAAATTGAAATGGCCTTAATATATAGCTGCATAAAGTCAATAAAAATGTTATCTAATTATTATGTCGTTCAATGAATAATAAGTACAGATCATATGGTTTTAGATCTGGGACCTTAATTGGTAATTTGGAGTGATAAGATTTTCAAACATGAAATATAGGTTTCTTTGAACTGAATGAGCCAAAAATTTTAATATACAGAAAAAATTTCAATTTTAGGCCACCTTTAATTAAAAATAATGTTTGCTTGCCCTCTCCCAACTCAGGGTAAAATTATTGGGTTAGTAGGTAGGTATGAAAATCTTTTTTCCAGAAAATTTCAACAAATTTGTTGACGGGATGAGAGGAATAATCAGAAAAAATATTGTGTCCTTGAATGTAAAAATAAAAAGGTTTTAAGTCGGGCCATTTTTAGTCAGGGCAATCAAACAATTTTTTAAAGGTGGCCTTATATTAACTCTTTGTAAAACATAATAATTGAGGAAAAACTTGTCACATTGTTGTCAATAATTGTCATCTTTTTAGCATCCACAGTTTCTTTGTACAAGAATTTATTTCAAAACACACCTCTGTGTCTTTTCATTGACATGAAATGAATACAGTAGATATCCAATCATCCACATTTTTCTCATAAAATTGCATGAAGACATTTTGTAAATCTTATTGATAAAAAATTCTGGTAGCAATTCACTTTGTTTGTGCAAACTGAAGCTTAGCATTCTGCCACTTCCATAAACGCCTATCTGTCATTTTGTGTTTTTGTTTGTAGTGCTTAAATGACAGAATGAGAATGAAGAGTTCATTTTGGTCTACATGTTTTGTATCCATAATGGTGATAAGCATGCTGTGTAAGAAGGAATATGATATCAGAAAATAATCCTCCAATGACAAGCAATGTGTAGAATATGGTCCATTGTCCTTGTTATCTGATGGAACAGTGTATGATTATCGGATATAAAATGTAACAACTTGTTCCGAACTAAGTAAACAAAAAAATCACACCAATTGTAAGTAAATATATCAACTTGAAACTTAATGAGAAAATGTTCATTCATCATCATGTGAAAAATATAATAAGTTTCTTCTGTTGGTTGTCTTGCAGTTCAAAGTGCTATTCAAGATTCATCAGGGCAGATCCAACTTCAGATGCATCATAGTGGATAAGGTAAAAGGGTTCATGTAGACATTTAACATTGTCCACAAATAAGGTAGATGTCTACTGAAAGTCAATAGTACTTCAACACATGCCTGCCTACTTAATCTTAGTCTGTCCCACTGCTCATCTCTATCGAGTTTCAGTAATCAATCTCCACCCTCTGTTCAGAAAGGCTGCACAAGTTTTTGGGGAAAAGTCCACCTCTGCTACCTCCAATGAGCCACGTACGATGTTCACATTTAAACACTAGTGTATCCTCAAAAATACTTCAGCTTCTGATAGCCCTCGATTTCAAGTACTTCAAGTTTTCTATCAAGCTTCTAGAGTTTTTCAAATTTCATAGACAGGATTGCATGCCGAAACCCTTTTTTCACACTCAAGATATTACTTTGAGGATCCTTAAAAGTATTATAGAGTGACGTCATCTACTGTGTGAAGTCTAAATTGATGTAAAAATACACTCACTTTCACAGTGACCATATCAATAATCTACTCCACTAAAGAAATATCACTTGCAAGTATATATATATATGCCATATTGAACACTCAAGAGTCTATTTTCTTCGTGATCGTTTTCTGCCAGAGCTTTATCATGTTTATGTTTACAGAACTCTCCCTGGGTTGGTATACTACAGCTTTGTCTATCCCTGGGCTTAACTTGATGTGCTATTTGTTCTAGGGAATTCTCTGAGTCCCGATTTGCTCTGGGTCTTGTCCAATCTCCTCTTTCACTGAGTTTTGTCAAATATCCTCTTCCACTGAGTTTTGTCCAATCTCTGGCACTGAGACTTGACCAATATTTTGTGACACTGAGTCTTGTTCAATCTCCTCTGGCACTGAGTCTTGTCAAATATCCTCTGGCACTGAGTCTTGCCCAATCTTTGGCACTGAGTCTTGTCCAATATCCTCTGGCACTCAGTTAAAAGATTTTATTGTATATCCTAGGAAGATGCATGCTTACTGTTTATCAATTCTTTGATAAGCTACATAGTCTATATTTTTTTTTAAAGGAAACAAAGACAAATCTTAAACATCCAGACCAAGAAGACCATGTCCATTTTGCAGAACAATGGCTTCTCGACTCACAGATCACATAAAAAGTTATTTGTTCTAGTGAATTCTCTGAGTCCCAATTTGCTCTTCTTGGATGGAATTTGTTCCCACTCTTCATCAACTGCAAGTCCACCACAAACAAGTTCCTCACAAGCACCAACAGACAACATTAATTGAATAAACTACTGGGTATGATCGAAATACAGTAATACATGGCCTTGGTGAACACATTTATCATAAATTCAAACGGATTGTCACTCCTGCACTTTTAAAACATACACCAACTACATAATATGAACTTAAAAAAATACATGATATACAATAAAATATAATAAATTCAAATTGTTACTTTGCATTAGGTGCTGTTGTTTATTTTCTCCATGACATATTGCTCTATGTTAAATTTCAAATATTATTTGAATTTTCAAAACCATGTTCAACAGTGTTATTACACTAAAAGTGTCATAAGCAAACTACTGATTCATATTTTAACCTACTATTAGATGTACATGTAGTACATAATTATGTTCCCCAAACGAAGTTTGGGAACATATTGTTTTTACTCTGTTTCTTATTATTATTATTATTATTATTATTATTTTTCTTCCTGGGTACTTTTTTGTCCGTGAGTGATCTCGTAAACTACTCATCCAATTGAGGTGAAACCTTTTTAGGGTAACTAGGCATGTTATGTAGATTTGCGGAACGAAGGTCATTTTGCGCGCACGTGCATGCACGTGCGTGCGCGTGCATTGCGTAAAATGACCAATATATTTGATATAGCTGTAACTTTTATATTTTTTGATGAAATGCTTTGATATTCAGAATATAAGGATGTATTAAAATTGTAAACAAGATGACATGGTCAACATGCGCATGCATGCACGTGCGCGCACGCGCAAAGCGTAAAATGACCAATATACTTGATATAGTCGTAACTTTTATACTTTTTGATGAAATGTTTTGATACTCAAAATATTTATATATATTAGAAGTGTAGACAAGATGACATGGTCATCATGCACATGCATGCATATGCATGCACGTGCGCGCGCGTGCAATGTGTTAAATGACAAATATACTTAATATAGCCGTAATTTTTATATTTTTTGATGAAAAGCTTTGATATTAAGAATAAACAGACAAATTATAAGTGTAGACAAGATGGCATGGTCATTATGAACATGCTTGCAGGTGCGCGTGCGCACAATGCTAAGATGACCAATATACTTGATATAGCCGGAACCTATATATTTTTGATGAAATGTTTAAATTTGAT